CCCATATCCGGTGAAAAAGCTTCATCAGTTGAATTGGAAAAGCAACTGGCAGGGAATGTAGAAGCTCCGAACGAAGTTATCCTGAATGATGGGGAGAAACCGGCAGCGAATAATGAATCCACGAATACGTCTTCTGTGGAGGACGTACCTGTCACAAGGGATGAAGCCGTTGGACCCCTAGTAGAAGGACTCACCTCAAACGAATACCCCGCTAACAAGGACGAACTGAGTGAACCAGAGTCGGTCCTAGACACCGCGCAATCGGATGTCAAGCCGGACGAAGAGGGGCTTGATATCGGATTTGATAATAACCTGGACGTCGCTAACACTGTCGTAGACTCCGCAGCTTCCGCGACACAATCTCTCGAAACCGAAACCGAACAACACCTCATGGAGGAAACAGGTGGGATAGTGGTTACGAACGAGGACGCTGATGTTGAAGTCGCGCCCGCTTCAGGGGAGGTCGGGGGCGAAGGAGCTCAAGTGTTTCCAGTACTGGTGGAGGAACAGAGCCCTAGCGACACTACGGTCGAGAGAACTATAGCTGACGATGAAGCTTTACTAAAAGAGGAAAGCATTGCAGATTTAGCTCAGGACGAACCAGTCGATCTGTTTAGGGAAAATTCAGGCGCCTTGGTGGAGGAATCTTTAAATGCTGATCCAGCGACATCCCTTATTGGATCAGTTGTCAAGGACCATTCAACAGACACTATTGTTCAGTTTTTGTCGTCGGGAGAGGCTATTTCAGACGCTTCTATAAATCAGTTTACTGAGATGGAACAACGGCCCGTTCTGGAGCCGCAGATTCAAGTCAATCAACGCGCAGAAGTTCCTCAGGACGAGGCCGCTGACGATAGTGAAGCTCCCACTAACGAAGTGGTTCCACCAGCTGCACCTGAAGCGCCGTTTGCAGAGGATATTGTTCCTCCAATCATGGTCACTGTTGACTCACAGGATGAAATTTCTTCTCATACCCTTGGTTTGGAAAAGCCATCACTTGATCAGGAAATCCAATTGACTGAGCTGACAACATCTTCTGAATCAGCGCAAATCGACGTCGAGAAATTGGTGGAAGTCATGCCTGACACTCCCAGTGTCGAGACTGCCCCTGAAGATAGCTCCGACCTCCGCGTTCACGTTACTGAAGTCGAAAGACCAGAATCGCCATGGACTTCATCCTATAGTGTCAGTGATCAAGGTCCTGACGTGACTAGGGAAGAAGACATATCCGAAATCGAGCAGCTTCCCGTATCAGATGTGGTCACCAGCGCAGAATCATCCGTGCCAATGGTAAATATAGTACTGGAAGAATCTGAGCCCACAGCAAATATTGTACCGGAAGAATTTGAGCCCACAGATGCAAATGTGAGATCAAATCCTCATGAAACTATTTTTTTCTAAGATGTTCATTTACAGCCTGAAGAAAGGAAGGAACCATCCAGACCTTCTTCGCCTTGGGTCCCCTCATACTCTGTGTCTGTACAAGGAAGCCCTTCTATATCTGCCCAAGGCCTAGATTTTCCCAACAAAGAGTCTCCTGCTCACCCGGCAGAATCGTCCGTCGACGAGCTGATACCGGGAACAGAAGAACTCCCCGAGCTGGACATTGAGATTGCGCCTTCTGTGTACCAAGATGAACCCGAAGACAACACAGCGATACCGTCCGCCGGTCTCGATCAGCTACCAGAAGTTCCTTTCGGGGTGCATTTAGAAATAACCGAGAACCCCCAAGAACCTGTTAGCATATCCGACGAAGAAGTGCCCGTTGGTGTGTCCGTCGCAGATTCCTCTCTCCAGGGGAGGCTTGACATTGAGGATGCTCCAGCGACTGTCGCCATTGAAAATAGGGAAGGGGAACACGAAAACGAAGACACTACAGAACCTGCAGATGTCGTGAACGCCGTTGGAGCTGAAGAAATCCGTAGCGAAATTGGCGCTGAGGATTCTATGAATCTAAGCATCAATACCACTGAAATCGACAGGCCAAAATCGCCATGGACCCCATCGTACAGTGTCATCAACCAAGGTCCTGATATGGCCAGAGAAGAAGACATACCAGAAATCCAGCAACTTCCTCCATCTAGTGTGCCCGCTGGTCAGGAACTCCCCGTGCCAGAGGTCAACATTATACCGGAAGTTTCTGAGGCTACAGTTGCAAACGTAAGTCCAATGATTTATGGTGCTGGAATGTTGCTGAGACGTGCGATCTGCAGCCTGAAGAACCAAAAGAATCGTCTAGACCATCGTCGCCTTGGGTTCCATCGTATTCCGTGTCTGTTCAAGGAAGTCCTTCTGTTTCTGCCCACTCCAGCCCTGTACTGGCCGCCACCGAACTTCCCGAGAATGTGATACCTGTGATTGAGCTATCAGAAGAATCCGTATCTGCCGAAGGTTCTGCACTCAACGATGCCGCTGGGTCGATAGAGGAACCTAGCCTTGAAGTTGATCCTCTTCCTAGCGAACTGCCTGTCGACTCTGTGATCCATGAAGAAAACTCTGTAATTCCATCTGTGAATATTACTGAACCATCGTCGGAAATCTCTTTGGATATACCTCGCGAATCGACTGAGGCTGACATTGCCCAAACCCCCATGCAGGATCAGACGGTCAACATGGTGTCGTCGGTTGAAGAGCCATTGGTTGTTGATGAAATGCTAGATCAATCTGGGAACGAGGTGTGTTTCCCGTGTACTCGACATTTGATGAACTGACAAGCCACAACGTGTTTTACGCATGTTTTTAGGACACGGCAGTTTTCGAGGTGCCTGATGAAGAAGCGATTGTCGACCTTTCAGCGAAACCCTACAAAGATGTGGAGATTCCTGAAGCTCTTTCCCTATCTCATTCAGTTGTTGCGGCTCAAATAGAGAGGCCCAAATCACCGTGGGGTTCATATGAAGTCACGAACCAGTCGCGTCACGAAACTTCCATAGCAGATATAGCAGATCCCGAGGTTGTTGAAACTGTTGAAAATATCCCCGCTCCGACTTCCTTCATCAGGGATGAGCCGGTACTCGAACCCGCAGACGAGCCTGCTCTCAAGGACATATGCACGACCGAAGATGCTCCTGCAGCTGAAGTCTCCAAGGTATGCCTATAAATGTTCTGTAACCCCTCCAATTCTTGACACTTTCCTCAGTTAACTGTGGACACTACCGAGAATGATCTTCCGGAAAGACCTAAATCCCCGTGGACCCCGTCTTATTCGGTGTCCAGGCAAGGATCCCAGGTATTCAATGAGGCTAGGAATGATGCTGAACTTGACACATTGAAACAACCACCTCCTCACGGTGAAAGCTCAGCAGTGAGTCCACATTCGATCTATGTATTGATTGAAATGTACTGAGGATATACGTCAGAATGCCCCCATTACCTTGGAGGAGCCAAGTGTCTCCGATGTAATTGGAGAATCTGTTTCTACCCCCTCCGGGGAGACATTCCCAGCTTTATCAGTATCTGGGGATACAGAGTAAGTGTCCGACCATTGCCGAATGAAATTATCGTCCTAACCATGTCATTCACAAGTCGTGACACTATCGGAGATACTCTTGCAGCTCCCAAAGATCGTAAGCGACTCGAATCCACCACATCTTCCTTGTTCTTCCCAGGCGGGTGGTTCTCCAAACCTCCTACAGGTCGAACTTCTCTTGATAATGCCCAAGGGGTGATCACTTCTCCCAAAGCCATATCCCCAGTTGAAGGACGTCCCTCTGTCGAGTTGCTTGGTGGTTCTTTCGCTCCAGGCTCAGCGACTGCCGACATCACTAACGAGGGACCCGATGAAGATAATGAGAAGAAGGGGAAGTGGTGTGTCATAATGTGAAGACACAAGCTAATGTTTCATCTACAATTCTCTAAATTTATGACTGTAATGTGTCTTGCTCATCTTTTTTTTGATCTGCTCATGCTTTCAATAATCGGATTTTCATTTTTTGACTATTTTTGCATAATTTTCTTCTACATCTAGTTGGCTGTCGCACCGTATGTCCATCAGTATTCCTATCGTAATATATGTGTTTCGTGAATAGTACAATCCAAGCGAGAGTTATTGTTAGTCTCCCCCTTATTAGTCTCCTCCTTTCTTCTTCTTTTCTTCGACGATCTCCACATTGTCAGCGGGAATGCCTTTCAAAATTCCTACCTCCCCTTCAATCATTTCGAACACTTCATCGCTTACATCACCCTGAACAACAATTTCCTCTAGACCTTGGGGATTCTTTGTGACTGACGCTCCTGTCGCGAATTTGGACGCAAATTGTTTTGCAGCTTTTTTCAGATCAATGTCGAATGCTTCGAGGCCATGTATCGAAGTTACATGTTTTCTCTTGTTGCGTTCAATTCGTTTGATTGTAACCTAAAGAATTATATAGATGATCGACGTGGTACACAAGTGATAATTTAGACAACGAACCTGAGACGCCAGCTTTTTCTTCAAGGCTGCATCAGCCTTCGCTTCGGCTTTAGCCTCCTTCTTTGCTGTTTCCTGCTCCAACTTTGACTGTGCCTCCAAGCTCAGCGTTCCTATCTTTGCTTGTAGAGCCTCTGCGATCATATTGATCAGTGGATCGTTGTGGAAGATTGATGTAAAGGAAACATACCGTCCGAATAGTACTTGCTATATGCCTCTAAATCATGTTCATGTAACCACTCTTTGCACCGGGTTAAACTCGATCCAAATTCGCAGTATTCCACGGGGAAAGTGCAGACTATAAGGAAGGGCGTAGCCCTAAGTCTCGATCATTTTGAGATGTGAGTGAAGTACTCAGACCTCCGCAATACAGAACTCGAACTGGGGGTCTTGGTTCAGGTGGTGGTGGTCCCTCTGGTTCTGAAGCTGCTGGTGGGGGATCCGCGATAGCGGCAGATTTGTCGCCCTTATCGCGATTTTTCTTAGCGGGCATCGTGATGGAAGGTATGTAATTAGAAAACTTAAAAGCGAACAACCATCAGGTCACTGCACAATCAACTACAAATTGTATAACATTTTCAATTTCTACGTTCCGACCATAGCTCAGCTGGAAGAGCACAAGACTGTAACTGGTTAACTCAATCTTGGGGTCGCCTGTTCGAGCCAGGCTGGTCGGAGTTTTTCTTTCTTCCTTGTCAAAGTCTATGCCACCCTAGACGAGGTTCACGACAATGGAGACTAGTTTAACATGTTGACGACCTCCAGTGCCTACATACAATAGAAAGAAGTGTCCCATCAGAACATTGCACAAGTAAATAGTAGAGATATCAATGCCTCAGTTCCACCACGACATTGATGGTCATAAGAGTAACATAGCAAGCGATAAGAAAGATGCCCCAAGTCCGCGTTAGAAAGTACCCGTTGAAGGGCACAACGATGATGGTTATCGCTAATAGAATCAGTAATCCTACGGTGCTCACGAGCAAAGTAGAACCGAAGTGTAATTTATATGGCTCAGATGTTTGAGAGATGATGTAAGATCCCGAAATCCCGACGCCGAGCAGGATGTTAAGCATTGGGCCACCGAAGCAGGCGGAGAATCCCATTATTGGGGCAAACACCTAGAAATACCAGTTCAACTACGCACTAATATGCAGAATTGGACGTTAGAACTTACAGCAATGCTCATATTAGCCACTAGATCCGCAAGTGAATTTCCGACTGCAAAAATTGTCAATCCAATGATAGCATCGGATAGTCCGAAGATAAAACCAAACGTCTGAACAAGCAATCAGCTTCGCAAATTAAATTGATACGAGAGAGAGAATGATCTGACCTGAAGTACTTGAACAACTTCGTCCGCTATAGCCATAATCCACACAATGGCAACAAAGAATCCCATAAAGCAGCGGGCCATTTTGAAAGCCATATTGTCGCCTCGGTCAACGAAAACGATAACAGAAGCAGCTAAACCTATACCTGCTATAGCAATGGCAAGGAATAACCAACCCTGTTCAGCATGACCACCTGAGACTCATGAGCATATCATCAATGAGAAGGATTGGAAAACAACACACTAAAGAGAACTGCAATACAGAACAACGGTCCTAGCAATACTTGCACGGAGGTTAACCACTTATTAAAGCCCACGCCATGCATTTCGTCTTCGACCTCTTCTTCGGCTATCAACACTCTCTCAATTCCTTCCTCCTCGAAATCAATCAAGTTATGACTGTTGTCCAGCTTTTCGCGTGCATGGTGAGTTGATATGTAGGGTGTCACAACAACAGGGAGAGTCAATGTCAAAAGCATGACTGCCGGTGCTGCGAATATTGAAGCAATTTGTCCCAGAACGCTCTGGCTTCGGAAACGATGCAGGGTCGGGAAAAGAGTATGGTAGCAAGCGCCGAACGTGTGTTTCGATCGCTGCCACTTAGAAAGAGGAAGATGAGGATATTCAGCGTCGCTTTCTGTTCCCGTAGGAGAAGCAGGTGTATGAGATATCGTAGGGATAGAAGAGGAAATGCTTGTCGGAGGGTCGTCAAAGTAAGAACTACTATTGAGGTCAGGACTCCCTGGATGAGAATCACTTGGAGCTGGGATTACATGAACATGAGGAGAGCGCTCATCCAGCGCCAGCGCCGCATCCCAAGGATCTCGATCATGGTCGTGTGTTGCTGGTGTTCTTGGGCGAGATCTAGGTCGAGAGTGATAATGACCACCTGCATAAGGAGTGACTGGGCTGTCGAAGATATTCAGAGAAGAACTTGACGCCTCGTTTCTCAATGACGCGACAACTTGGCGGAATTCGAGTGCGCCAACCAAAGAGAAGGAGGGCATTTGGGAAAAGTGAGGCATTGGGGAATGGGACCCAGGAGTAGGAGAAGGTGTTCGGGAATGTGAGCGCCTTGGAACATCAGTTTGAATGCGAGGCGGTCCAGGAGACGATTGAGCGCGCATTCGGTTTGGATTAGAAGGAACAGGGAGGGTATTATTTTCAGGAGAAGCTGGTAAATATTTTAGCGAATGGATTATACAGCAAACAGAAATATTCACAATCATCTCTATATGGAACGTCAAAGATAGTAGGGACTGAAAGTTCGTCGTCCCGGTACTCTGCACGTACTATGGCTTCATGTTCCCTGCGTTGTTGTAATCTTCTGTCCCACCATGTACCAATGATAACTGTAGCAACGTAGGTCACATACAACACAATCATCATAGCCGCTTCCCATGGGTGGATCAGACCATCCCTCAGAATAATGAGAAGAAGACCAACAGCTACCGCAAAGAATCCGACGTCGCGCAAGAAAGGTCTTGGATTGACGTGGAAAGGCTTGATGATACAAATTGAGCCGACGACGCAAGATACGATGAAAGAAGCGGCGCCTATGAGTTCTCCGATTGCAAGACTACCAGAGTCGGCTCGCATTGCTGAGAATGTGGAAAACACATCAGGACTTCCGTTTCCAAACGCCAAGAATGTCACCCCAGCAACGTTCTCGTCAAGGCCCAGAAGTTGTGCAATAGTTGCGAGATTGGGAGTAAAGAAATCTGAAGCACTGATTCCCAGAGTAGAAAACAGGAATATGAGCCAGATAATGAGGCCCACAAAGATGGAAGGACGTAGAGCAACTTCAGTGCAGAAGTAGTATCGGAGATATTGAAAGGAAAGAAAGGTACGAGATCCTGCACAAAACTCGGATACATGGGCACATTGCTGATCTGTAGAAAACGCAAGAGGACGACACTATATGATGTGTTTAATTTATTCAAGTAGAAATTTATTGATTTCAAGACCTGCGCACCTGCCTTTCCTCCGATAATCCTGAGAATTCCTCCAGATATCGTTTGACAAGACTACTTCCACTCCCAGGATTCTGAAAATCAGCTTGAAATTGCCCGTATCGTCCACGAGACCATAGAAAACACTGGAGCAGAAACAAAACGGCGAATGCTAATTTGAATGAATGACCGGCCATGAAAGTAGATGGAAAAGAGACATGTGCAGGATAGCCGCGGTAAAACGGCAGATGACCGCAGCCAAATAAGCTTTCATCAGGATTCGAAGTGAAATAATGGCAGTACAGGACTTGCGTGAAGTATGTAAATATGTGATAGATGTGTATCTAGTTGCGCGATGTAACTCAAGCTCGAGCCCTTTCACTCCAACCAGGCTCCTTATCGCACCACCTAGGCTCTGGTGAAGGAGCTTGATTCACAAAGCCCTTGTTTAATTTTTGCGAAGACGTTCTTCGTGACGTGTCCTTTTACAGTTCGTTGAGCAGGCGACGTGACCGCAGGCGCCGAAGCGCTTCAGTAGCTTTGTGTCAGGTGGAAACCTGGTGGAATCCACGTCGAATGCCAGCATCATACACTCATCATAGGCATTGAACGTTGTCGTTCATGAAGACTTTTGTACACATTCCCTGACTTCTATTTCCAACTTGTCAATCAACAGATACAATGTAAGGTTATCACCCACCGAGCTAGACACTGCTATTCCCATGTCCTTGTCAAATGGCGATGTAGGTGCAAAATCTTTACTTCCCATCTGCAAGCCCAAAGAATTATAAGTCACACGCATCAAAGAAGATATGAAGCTGCTTAACTTACACTTCTCAACGACTCTTCCTGCGCAACCCTATAACCAGTTTCCATAGCTGAGGACATAACATGCAACACAGTGGAGAACTGCGTTGATGTTCTGCGATCTTCATAATTATGGCGTTGCAGAGATCTTCGAGAATTGAGAGACGCCAGAAGTGAATTAGCATATACTGGAACGGGAAGTATGTAGCAGTAATATAGCGATATATTTAATAAAGATATGCGACAACTGAACGAAGAAGACGTACGTTTTCCAATAACAAAATCGAACGCAAACGAATACATGGAGTTCGGGAAAGACAAAAACTAGTTGAAATCACTATCAGCAGAACGCTTTTGTCCAGAAACCGTCTACTCACAAGGATAACTTCGAGGACAGCGACAACCCTATACAATGATTATTTGAGTCAAACAAAGAGAATACGTCGCGAAAGACTCACGACGTTAACACACAACGGTTGATAGCATAAACTATTAGTTTCTTTATCAAGGAATTAGTATCACCAAACTCCGTTCGACTTCGTCGAAGAAGAAGAATAAGTGCAGAGGCTATGACAATATCAGACAATATTGCGAAAACGCCGAAAGGAATGACACAGTTGTACTAGAAATAAAACGTCCATCAGCACCAAAAGAGCGATAAGACCTGAGCAAGTGCAACGATATCGACCCACAGTGACTTCTTCTAGCCGAGAAAATGATTCTCTGATTGAACTAAAGGTGATTCGGGAAATGCGATTGAGTATTCTATAGCCTGAGGAATTACCAGAGAACCGACTTGCTCACTTACAATTGAATGACAGTGTCTATGTGTGTGCGCAATGGATCCAAGCACGAATCAGCCAACCTTCACTAAAAAACAACGAACATCTTCACCCACATATTCCGAAAACTAAAACATCAATAATTAGATCAATAACGGCAAATTTTGGGATAAGACGAACCGAAGTGCCCTAGTACAATGCAAGCTGTCGAGATGGAAAGGCTGGATTTAAACTGTTGTTGGCTCACTATGAAATAGTCCAAACGCATTCGAGTGTGTGCACGAGAGGTTTAATTCCAGGCTGACGTACGATCATATATACGTTTTGTGAAGAAGCTGAGATAGTCAGATATTAGAAAAAGAAGCAACTGTTGAAATCGATGAAGCACACCATTGAGAGATGAATGCCCCAATAACCTAAAGAATGTATACGTAGCCTAGGAATAAGGGAGGATGTCATCATACGAGTATAGGGCAACGTACGTTCAGAGCGACTGAAGCCTAATCACAGAACATCCTATTAAACCTTGGGTGTAATTGCCACAATGAGTGTTACGACTCACGAACAACGACCTAGCAGAATCAATGTCAAGACGATCGGATAGATGTTGAACAGCGCAATCAGCTCACCAGGTTCCCGAATCGAAGATTTCCGGATAAATGTAGCCCATAATCTGAAGTTGAGACGATATGCAACCGATATCACTTGCTCGAGTGAAGAGCGACGTACGAGATATTGATACATTGCATGGCACACTGTGTGGACGTTTTGAGGTATCAGACATCAATTGACAAGCCAGTATC